CCAGGCTTGCGCGCCCCCGACGAGAGATGGCCCCACGAGATCCCCAGGAGGGCCCCAGGAGAGCCCGAGAGGGCCCCCCGGAGCTCCCAGGAGGGCCATAGGAGCTCCCCAGGAGGGCCCCATGGAGAGCCCCCTGAGGGCCCCCCGGAGGGCCCCGCGGGAGCCCATGCATGCCACCCCCTTCGCGTGCGGCGAGGGGGTCGGGGCGGTGGCCCACCCTCTGGCCCGCGGAGCGCGATGGAGGAATGGAGGCGACTTATCTGGAGGACTATAAGACTAAGTTGGCCGAGTTTTTGGCGGTTCCCCCCATTGCTGGCAGCCTCACCCGAACTTCTCACATGGAAGTGCTGGCGGAGACGTCGGTGACTAGGCTTATCTATCAGCTACGTCGGGCAAAGAAACGTCGTGCCACAGTTAGCTGGAGCGTCCCCGTCGAAGTCGCCCTCATGGTTCTCGACCCTGGTCATCTGTCTAAAACCCGTTTTCAAGGTTTTGGTTTTGGCTATGCAAGTGCTACACCTGATCCTGTGCCCGTACTTGGACAGTTTGTGCCACGAGCTGATGATGAATTCTTTCCAGCGGTGGGCCAGGCAGACGACGACCTTGATGCGCGCATTGCTGGTTCTCCCGCACCGAGTCTGTTCCGGAGTGAAACCCCTGGTGCCCATGGCGGTGCTAGGGCTGAAGATGGCCGTGAGAACCGCTTCCTGGTTTCAGCTGGGCTGTTACGCGCTCGTAGAGCATTTATAGATATTATTATTCATGCAATGCAAGTGGAGCAACTCCCTACGAAAGCCAACACTACTGAGGGTGTATTCTTAGACAAGAGCAATAACAAGGACAAGATGCAAAGCGTTAGAGTTATCCACCTGCTGGACACGTTTTGGAAATTCTGGTATGCCGTTATCTATAGCTGGGGGGAGGAAGCTAAGCATTACGACTCAAGTTTCCCTGGGTGGTGGCATGGGTTCTTAAGGCATCGGCGGAGGGAGGGGGCAATCCTTGTCCAACAGCGCGTCGGCTTCGCTCTTCGTCGTCTTGCCCTCCCTCACTTGAATGAGCTCCACGATCTTAGCAATGCGTTCATGTGCCCATCCTCCTCATATTTAGCGGCTGTGGGTGATCGAGTTGTGAAGCCAGAGTTCCAGGTCTTTGCAGAACAGCGTATTCGGAATGGCGTCGTGAGTTTCAAGTTGCATCAGGAGCGTCACTTCTTTCTTACGAAGAACGGGGGTTTCCAGGGGTCTTGCGAGATGCCTAAACAATTCGTCGGGGTCTTCCATGAGACAATTGAGGAATTGCGTGCTGATCCTACGCACACTCCCATTCTTGCTCATTGCGAAGTTGGCAGTGAATCTAGCATTGACGTCTCCCTCTCGGGCTTTGCTGACGACATCTTCCGTAAGCGTCTTGTACCTCGTAATATGAATGTTCAGGAAGTTATTCAGAATATCTCAGCCAGTGATGCAGCTATGAATCGCATTCTCCAGAAGTGGTGTTTCTCTCAGAATATGGGCAAGAAAGACATTATACCACATCTTGGCTCCACCCTAACTAATCGACAATTGCAAGAACTTTGTCCTGCTAAACACGGCGCTGTTAAAGCACATGCACGGCATCTAGGCGCACGCTACACGATGAAAGGGAACAACGGTGTGGAGGTGGAGCTACGTATCCAGGGGATGAGAGGAGGGTGGAGTATGATGGGTCTCTTCTGGCATGAAAGGGGACTACGGCGACTTAAGCGGGAACTCTATCTCAGCACTGTCGTGGAAAAGGGCCTTACGGGGCTTGAGGCGTTCGTTCTCACCTCGTCGGAGCACGCTCGTATCGACGTTATCATCGTCCGCTACCTTCGTGTACTGATGCAAGGCTCGGCGACGAACTGGGAGGGATCCCACGCCGTATCGTTGAGCAACGACGAGGTCCTGCGTGAGTGGCGCATCCTGCCGAGCGCGGGCGAGCTCGCGGTTCGACGGGTTCGTTGGCTCCAGAGTATGGTTCAGCATAGGCACGCTCACGCTCAGACCGTCTCGGTCCTCTTAGGACACATCCTGAACGAGGAATCCACACTCACACCATCTGGCACATTAAGCAGCACGGCCAATCCGTGGATACGTCAGTTTGCTCGTGACCTCGACTGTTATCGTGATATTAGTGGTACAGAGACGTTCTTTGAAGTATGGGGGGCTTCAGGCGATTCGTGGAAAGAGCTATTCCAGGAGAACTCAGATTCGGCTCATGAGTTTTTGAAGATAGACCCCAGCCTTTTACGCTCTGCAGTCTTTACGGATAGAAGGCATTGGGACCGACTATTTCGTCACACTCAATTTCAGGTCCCACAGTCTGGTCAAGAACATGTATGTAAGCTCTTAGATTCTACCCATCAGAGTTGTGATCTTGGCTTTGCTACTTATCAACAGCTTCTAGCACATCAAACGGCGCATCATGGTATCCGTTCTATCCTAAACTCTGGAGTGATATTAAATCAGTGCCCTAACTGCTGCTCTGTCTTTCGGGATCGGCAATCTACCCAACATCATCTCAAACGGGCTTACGCTAATGGGCGTTGTCAACTTGGCAGGGCCCACATGTCTTGGGAGATTCGGACACCTTCTGAACTTAGATGCGGACTATGCGACGTAGCGGCTTTTGGCTCAGTGAGTGAACTGCACGAACACCTTCGACGCGTGCACTTACCCTTGCCGCTTCCGCGGCTTGTTGTTCCTCGTCCCGCCCATCCGAGGCGGGCAGTTCATGCCGGCAACGCTGACGGCAGCGGGCGCCGGGGGCGCTCCAGCAGCGCACGTCCGTGTGGTGCGGTCGCGCCAGGGCGAGGACGACGGCAAGCGCGCCGACGGGCTCAAGGAGGTGAAGACGTGGAAGTCGGGACAGAAGCAGGTGTACGGCATGATGATGCGCCAGATCCTCCGCAACTCCCAGCAGCAGCGCGAGGTCATGGCCACGCTCTTCGACGTGTACCTCGGCCCAGAGAACCATCCCATCATCTTGCGCATGGGGGAGCAAACCTCCACGTACAGCGAGCTGGTGAAAGGCAAGAAAGATCACGAGTACGGCCCGCCACTGATCTGGGCCTTCGGAGGAGCGTTGGAGTGGCTGAAGGAACAGCAACCCGACACTCCCACGCAGGGGGTGTCCCTGACCAAGGAGCTCCACGTCAAGCTCAAGAGCGCGTACGACGAGTACAGCAGTTGGACGGTGAAGAAGAAGTGCGAGCTGATCTTGTGCTGCAAGGTGGAGAAGGTGTTCCAGCGGGGCATGAATAAGGTAACGTTTGCGTACAGGGACCCCCACTTCCGCCAGATGATGATGGAGGCCTTCGAGGGGTTGCAGGACTGGCAGCTGAAACAAGGACGAGCCCCTCCAACGTTCATGGAGCGCGAGCTTCAACAGATGGTGGAGCAGCTGGAGACGGCTTGAGCGCTAGTACCGAGGCCATAGACCCACGCACGCAGTCCCTTGCTCGGCGTCATGGTGGGTCCCCTTCTGACAGGCCGCGAGATATCGTCTTCTGGGACGGCACAGTTAGCAAAGCTCCTGATGATGGAAAACATGGCGATTTTGAAATTACTCGTGAAGCTGGTAATACTTCGTGGCTACCGCTACTTGCAGCTGGTGCGGATCGGGCGGTGTTTCGCGCTCGTCCAGCTGCTGGCCCTGCTGGCGTTGTTCGGCCAGGCCCCGTCTCTCTCCCATCCAGGCTCCGACTTGTAACAGATTTTTTGGCTTCTCGTCATATCTTCCCTGGTACTCAGCAGTTCCAGACGATGATGAACAGTGATCGGGTGTATGGGATGGCAACGCAATGGTATAATCAGCAGAGCAGCAGCAGCAGCGGAGCGCAGTGAGGGAGTAGTGAAACAGCCGCATTCGTTTTCCACATTGAACTTTTTGTCGCCAACTGTGCTGGCAAGGGCCCATCTCGGTTGTTGCAAGGCGGGTTCTGGCCCTGTGGGCTCCGTCGTGTAGCGACTGCGTCGGCGTTTGCAAGCCCATGCTTCTCTTCCTCGGGCTTCGGTCTTGCCCTGGGATAAATTCAGGAGTGCCCCTCGCGGTCCCCTCACACGTCGGAGATCGTGGGGACGTACCCTGGAGCCACCGTGGCTCCGTAGGGTACCGTCCTGTCGCCTCGAGGCCCAGCCTCTAGGCACGTTCCTGGCTTGATCAGGCTCGCCGCTCCAGAGTCACTTGGCATTCAATTCGTTGTTCTGCCCAGTGGTGATTTTGATATAGCTGGATTGCATAGTGCACTCAGCTCTCTCCAGAGACACCGGTTGGAGCTCATGGTGATTGTCTTGTCTTGTCTTGTCCTCCTCCTCCTCCTCCTCCGCCTCCTCCTCCTCCCTCCGCTACAGCCAGAGCCAGCAGGCCGCACCCGCGCTCGCCCAGTAGTCAGCGCTGGCGCAGGCTAGGTGTTGAGGCTGGCGCGCGTTCTCACCTAGCGTTGGGTCGGGCGTGTCCCTCTACAGGAGGACGATTTAGACATGGTCAAAAAATAGTGCAGGGACGATTTTGTTGAGTATTTTTGTTAGTTTTCAAAATGTTGGTGGACTATCTTTCATTTTGCCTCCCAAATCCGCCTGTAGGAGGACATGCCCGACCTAACCCTGGCGAACGGAAGGCGCTCGCGCGCGGCCACGCTTAGTACGACCCAGTTAGGGAAGCCAAGGACCACGGGCCGCGGGAGTGCCCGTCTCGCTCGGGACGCGCGCAGGAACAAAAGCGGGCTGGTCCCCTCGCACAGGTCGCGACGTCGCGGTACACATGCCCAGCGGATGTACAGCATGTTCGCCTGATATGAAGTGTTTTCAAAACGCCTGTGCACGCTCGGTGTACATATCTTTTTGCTTAGCTCAATGTGCGATTGTTGTTCAACATGGCGGTGGCGTGCAAACGGTGTTTCACAGTCTAGTTGAATAGTGCAATTCCTAATCTACAGAATTGGACATGTCTCTCAACGCACTCCCTTAACATGTTCACTTGCACACTCGCGTTCAGGCATGCGTGCCCAACTCTCTGTATCCGTGTTGGTTCAAGCCAGCTCGGCCGAAGCAGCAAAGCGAACCGCAGCACGGCACGAGGAGCAATGGGTTGCAGCCTAGCGAGTTGTGGCGGGGGCGTCGCGGCAGAAAGGGAGGTGCCGCTCGCATGTGGCATGTCGACATGGGACGTTTCTACTCCTCGGTGGATGTCAAAGTCTGGAATGCCAGGCTTCTTCCCCTGCTACGCCGTCCGTGCCTCCTGGCTGCACGAGAGTACTCATACTTCCATGAGGCTTCACGAGGAGCTCCTCGGCGCTGGCTCCCTGGTCGAGTGGCGCCTGGACGATGGTCCTCTCCTGTTCTTTTCTCACCAGTGGACCGCCTTCGGCGAGCCAGACCACACCGGAATACAGTTCAAGATGATCAAGGAGTTCGTCATGGATTTCGACACCGTAAAGCGCTTGGAGAACCGGACCAGCGAACTCGAACGCAAGTTCAGCAGTATGAGTTCGACGCCGTTGACGCCCGTGCTCGCGCCCCAGCGTGAGGGTACAGAGTCACAGTCCGTATCTGAATATGGCCCAGATCAGGTGTTTTGTTGGCTCGACATCTGGAGTATACCGCAGGCCTCCACCCGAGACCAGTCCTTGGCAATCCAGAGTTTAGCAGCCTACGTAACGTCTGCGGCCATCATGGTGGTGGTCGCCCCGCCTTGCACGCATGCCAACACAGGCGAGCGCTGCGACCTGAGGAGTTGGCGTTCACGTGGGTGGTGTCGTCTTGAGGAGCTTGCTTTCTCCATCAAGGACTTCGGTGCAACGACGGCCGCGCGCATCTACATCCTTGACGAGCTTGGAGGCAAACCACGCCGTGATCACACGATGCTTGGAGGACCACGGAAGGATCCATCTTCTTCGGTGTTGCGGGGGCGATTCACGTGTTGCAAGCGCGGGCACATTGGCAATAATGGGGAGAAGCTACAATGTGACAAGGAGACTCTCGCAACAGTGGTCGGCATGTTGGAGAACACGTTCGCCGACAGACTCTTGGAACGTGAGGACATGCCCGCATATCGCCGGCTTGTGAGTACTCGCTGGGCGCGCATGTGCGAGGATTCGCCCGCTTTGCCAGTGGAGGCGATGCTTTCAAAATTGGCCATCCCCATGTCAGATGCCACGGCGGAGCTGGATGGTTTGATGTACGCGGTCCACTACGCGGCATACAGCAACAACCCCGTGGCCATCATGGGGCTCCTGGAGCTTCGCGCGGATGTGGGGTCCCGCGACGCAGATGGTTGCACGCCTCTTCACCTGGCCGCGATCGCAAACGCGCCACTGGCGGCCGCAGCGTTGATTGACGGGCGAGCGGACGTGAATGCGATGAACGCGTATGGGGGAAACCCGGTTCATGCCTCCATCTTCTCCACAGGCACTGACGTCCTCCGGCTCCTGCTCGAGCGGAGTGGGGACATACACCAGAAGATATGTGCAGAGTTTCCGATGCCCTCGCTCCGTGGCGCCTCTGCTCTGCACAGGGCGGCCTTGTTCGGCCACCAGAGTGCTGTGACCCTGCTGCTGGAGGCCCATGCTGATCCACATGACCGGCAGGGCCAGGGGGGACCCCTGACCGGCCTCACCCCGCCTGCCGTGGCCGACCGCAGCGGGAATCACCTCGAGTGGATCCTGCCGATCTGAGAGGGCTTCGGCTGGTTGTCCTCCTCTCCGCTCCTTTACGGCGAAGATCACATCCGCATCCGCGGCTTCGCGGGCGGGGCCCTTCGGCCGCGACCCCGAGGATGCGGGGCGCTTTTGTTCCGCGGATGCCCTGCGCAACGTCTCCGTGCGACCGCGCATCCGCGGGATCGCGCCGTGGAGCCCAGGCCGCGAGGGCGTGGATATGGATATGTTCGCCGCTCGTGCGTTCCTTCCTCTGTGCCCCTCCCCTCCCGCACCTCGATCCCGCCCACATTTCCTACTCGAGCCTGGGACCGCATCCTTCGTCCTTCTTAACCTCAAGAAGCAATTGAGAACCCCCCCCTTCTCCGGCGAATGTATAACGCACCCGGCACCACAGAAGCGTCACCCTGGCACCTCGCAGCTTTATGTGGACGCAGACGAGCCTGCTCGCCGAAACAAGCAAACTGCCTGAAATATTCTCGCAATATGGTCTCCTTGTGTTTCTGAATCAGGCGCCTGAACCAGCAACGCCAGCAACAACATCAACATCAAAAACACCAACAACACCGCCAACACCAACAATAACAACATTAAGTCCCACGCAAGGGAGAGCCCAGCTTTGAAAAGGAATCGTCCGTGCCTGCGATGGGGGGCAAATATTTCTGGCGGTGCGATATCCTCGGATGCACATTTTTTCAATTGAAATGGTAATAAGAATCGTATAGGACAAGGATGATGAAGAAAATGCGAAAAAGGAGGGGGGGAGGAAAGAAGCAGGGGAGCTCGTCTGTTTTCGGATCGTTTTTCTTATTGTTATCCTTACTCTTATCCGTAGTATTACTATTAGTATGTTTAGTCTTTCTCTTATTAGTAGTATTATTGATCATACTGTACTTCTTACTGTCGTAATTACTTTGTGCGGGTGCGGTGCTAACATAACGCGCCGTGCGTGGCGGGGGCGATATCCTCGGATGCGCTACCCCACACGACGGCCGGGAAAAAACAATGTTTCAATAGGGGTGGTAACACAAGTCGTATAGGACAAAGATTGCGAAGAGAAGGAGTAAAAGCTCTCATTGTTATTCATATTATGTTTCGGAGTATGATCATCATTTTCATGTTGATTGCCATCCGTATTAGTACTCTTATTCTTAATCGTTTATGATTGATGTTTGTTATTGTTCTTATTATTATTACCTATAGTATTACTATCCGTAGTATTATTAATACTCTTAATATTACCATTATTCTTATTATTATTCGCATTACTGCTGTTATTTTTACGCCTCGCATTTCATTATTATTCTTGTTTATTCCAATTCCAATTGGGATACCACCCGAGACGGGGCGCGGGAACTATTCATTTTCGTTCCGTTTGCGCGGTGCTAATCATATCGTTCGGCGAAAACCGCCCCCCAGAATCGTTTAATTACGGTGTTGTGCTAATGATAACCCCGGGGGGGGTCCTTAATGGCTTCTTGAGGTTATTGTCCTGTCTGAGATGCAGCGCGCGCAATTTTCAATCATAGAGCTTTCCCAAGCTGTTTGGGGAGCACTTCAATTCTCTGTTGAGATGCAGCGCACGCGGTTTTCTTTTTTCAAAATCTTTCTCGCCCAAGCTGTTTGGGGAGTACCTCAATCATGACCCCAGTCTACTAACTGGGGGATGTACAGCCCGCGGTGGTGGATGTACAGCCCGCGGACTCCCGACACGTGAAATCATTTATCCGCGCAGCGCAGTGGTGCTTGGCGGCGCTGGCTCCCGCCAGTATCGATCTGCAACATCTGTCTCCGTTGGCCGACTGAGTTTGCTTGGTGTGCCATTTGTCTCGTAGCCTGTTCATGAGTGCATGGCGGGTTCCGCCTTGGCTTGTGGACAGTTGGTTGTGAGATGATGCTCGTTTGCGGGATGGAGGGATGGAATTGGCAGTCGCCGCTATCCCACGCTCGCCGCTGAATCCGTCTCTCTCTTTCCAGGTATCTGACGTGCTGATTTCTGTTTTGTCGTAATGTATGGGAGGAGGTGTAGGAAGAGAAAGGGTAACATTGGGCGGTGCGGCCCGCGTCGCGTCGTACATGCGATGCCTCCTCCGCGGCGGAAAAGTTGCAGCAACAACAACAGCAGCAGCTTAGTTGCTACTATCAGGCTCCCTGTGCTGTTATCCTGGAAGAAGAAGCCCCTCGTCCTGGCGCGCGGAGCGCGCCAGGGGCGGCGCTGGATGCGCCGCCGGATCCGACTGCTTAGGGAGCGCTCGCCCTGTGCTGCTGGAGCATCGCCTTGGATCCGCAGCGCGTGCGCGCCTTCCCCCTGCTCACTCCTCCTCCCCCTCTTCTCCTCGTCCCTTCGCCATGCCTCCGCTCTCCGCATCCCCCCCCTCTCTGACATTCTGCTCTCAGCATGACCATCTCGGCATGCACACGCACACGCACACACAGACACAGACACGCAGACGCACGCATTCACACATATACACACGCACACGCACACGCACACGCACACACACACACACACACACGCACACACGCGCACACGCACACACGCACACACGCACACACGCACACACGCACACACGCACACACGCACACACGCACACGCACACGCACACACGCGCAAACGCACACGCACACACGCACACACACACGCACACACACACACACGCACACACACACACACACACACGCACACACACACACACGCACACAAACGCACACACACACGCACACACACACACACGCACACACACACACGCACACACACGCACACACACACATACGCACACACACGCACACATACGCACACGCGCACACACACACACGCACACACGCGCACATCACCTGCGGCCCTCGCGGTGGTGTTCGCAGGGCGGCGCTGGGCCCCTGTCGGTTCGCGCCTCACACGCTTTCTCGTGGCCTGAGAGGAGTGCGACCAGGGGCACGCGTGGGCACCGCGCATCTTTCGGTACGGTAGGTTTGCGTCGTGTCGACCAGCGGCGAACCCAGCGCGGACGTTCAAGGTTGAACGCCGCCGGCGACCCAGAATCGATCGATGTTGAACGATCGGACGTTGCGGTAGCGGCCGATCGTTCAAGGTTGAACGATCCCTGCGGTGTCAAAAACCAACGCTGGGGTCGGCACGACACGAACCTGCCGTACACCCCTGGCGCGCTTCGCAGTCCCATGGGGAGTTCCACCGAAGGCCCCGACGGGAGGGCTCGGGTGGCGGCACCGCACCCAAGCCGGCACATTCCTCACACGTTGCGCGGCCACACAGGGAGGCAGGTGTCGCACGCGCTCCGCCCGCCAATCCCGGGCACAATCCACTCACGGATCGTGCCCAGTGACGAGCTCCATGTAGGGCCCCAGAGTGAGCATTTGCGCACATCTCCCCACCCAGTTCGGCACATCCGCCACGTTACGTGTAGTTGCCAAGGGTTGGGTCCTTCGTTTGCGTGGTGTCCCCGCCGGACCGCGGCAAGCATCCGCATACCGTGCTATTTGTCAGGCTTCGCGCCCTTCCCGCTCTACCAGCCCCACCAGTGCCGTCTGACCATCCAGGAATACCCCGCTAGACCCCGGCAGGCGTTCGCACACCGCGTGACGCATCGGGTGTCGTGAGTTTCCCATTCCACCAGTCCTCCCTGTGCCGTCTGGCCCTCCAGGGAGGCCCCGCCGGACCATAGCAGGCATTCGCACGCCCACTCCACCACTTCCAATCCACTGCTTGCGCTGGCCCTGCGTGGGTCCGGGCACTGAGGACAGCGACGGGCAGGGGGAAGGAGGAGCGAGCTCTGGGGACCGAGAGAGGCTGAGAAGTGCGGGGAATGCGTGGTGAGCAGCCGTCCTCTTCCTCTCTGTCGCTTCCCTCATTTCTCCATGCCTGCATCCCACTGTTTGGGGGGGGGGTCCGTTAATTGCTCCGAGACTACCTATACGGCGACCCTTCGGGTCATGAGGTCCGAGGGGTGTGAAACCAAAGTATCAACAGATCGATTTCACTATCGACATCCCAATCCATATCACGAAATGTCGCATTATCGACCTCATTATCAGTCTCACTATCGATTCCACTTTCGATCTCACCATCGACCTCACGATCCCTTCCATTTCAGATATCACTATGGATCTCACTATCGATCTCACTACGGGACACGCACGGGGCACCGCCAGGACATCATTGTCGATCTCACGATCTATCTCACTCGATCGATATCACAACCGTTGCCACTATCGAGCTCACAATATATCTCACTATCCCTTGCATTGCCGATATCACTATGGATCGGAGGTGAGGGGGTGAGATCGAAGTGGAACGGAGAGTCCCCCTACCGGGAAATCGATTCCGGTTTCGTGTTCGTGCGTGCCGTGCGGGCGAGGCGAAGCTGCGTGGGCGGGCGAGAGGAAAGTCTCCTGTGGCTGAGGCGCGGCCGGACCAAATGATTCCCTTCCGGGCGGCCGGGGCCCCGCGGTGTCCCGCCGGTGTCCCGCTGGTGTCCCGTGTGGCTGAGGCGCGGCCGGATCAAATGTCTCCCTTCCGGGCGGCCGGGGCCCCGCGGTGTCCCGCCGGTGTCCCGCGGTGTCCCGTCGGTGATGATGATGATGATGATGATGATGATGATGATGATGATGATGATGATGATGATGATGATGATGATGTTGATGTTGATGTTGATGTTGATTGATGATGATGGTGATGATGATGTTGGCGTTCGATTTTGATGATCGATAGTGAGATCGATAGTCAGGTCGAATGTGAGATCGATAGTGAGATCGACAATGATATCGATTGTGAGATCGAGCGTGGGACCGAATGTCAGATCGATTGTGAGATCGATAGTGGTATTGGTAGTGAGATCGATTGTGAGACCGAATAGGAGATCGATTGTGAGATCGATTGTGATATCGATAGTGAGATCGACAGTGAGACCGAATGTGAGATCGATAGTGGGATCTATTGTGAGATCGATTGTGAGATCGATCGTCAGATCGATTGTGAGATCGATCGATTGAGATTGATAATGAGATCGATAGTGAGTTCGATAGTGAGATCGATGGTGAGACCGAATGTGAGATCGATTGTGATATCGGTTGTGAGATCGATAGTGAGATCGGTAGTGAGACCGAATGTACGATCGATAATGAGATCCAAAGTGAGTTCGATAGTTAGATCGATAGTCAGATCGAATGTGAGATCGATTGTGAGATCGATTGTGAGATCAATAGCGAGATCAATAGCGAGACCGAATGTGAGATCGATTGTGAGATCGATTGTGAGATCGATAGTCAGATCGATTGTGACGTCGATCGATTGAGATCGATTGTGAGATCGGTAGTGAGTTCGATCGTAAGATCGATCGAGTGCGACGTTGGTCCCTTCCCCCCCCCCTCACCTCCTTATCACCCGAAGGGTGGTCGTATAGGTATCATTATCAGTATCATGGTCGATCTCGCTATCGATCTCACGATCCATCTCACGATACATCTCATTGGCGATCTCACGATCGATATCACGATCGACCCAACTATCGATCTCACAATCGATCTCACTATCGGTCGCACTATTGACCTCACTGCCGATCTCACTATCGATCTAAATAGGGAACGCCGACGGGGCATTGACGGGACACCACTATCGATCTCATGTTCGATCTCATTCGAACGATCTCACGATCGATTCCAAACTCGATGTCGCTACCCCCCATCATTACCGATCTCACTGTGGACCTCACTATCGATCTCACCGTCGATCTCACCATAGTTTCCACTATCGGTCCCCATACCGATCGCACCATCAGTCTCACCATCGATCTCACCGACGGGACACCGACGGGCCACGGGCGGGACACCGACGGGACACCGACGAGACACCAACGGGGCCACCCACGGGATGCCACGGGACACCAGTGGGACACCATCGGGACACCGCGGCGGGACACCACGGACCACCGCCAGGCAACCCGCTTGGGCGGGGGGGCGGGGCGGTCGTGTGGCCGAAGAGAGAGAGGGTCCGTTCTGCTCGCCCGCCCGCGCAGCGTCTCCCCTCCGCCCGCACGCGCGGCACGAGCACGAAAGACCGAGAACACGAGCCTTCCCGGTGGAGGGCTCTCTCCGTGCCACCTCGGCCCCTCGACCCCATTCGCCTCCCCGGTCTTGCCACGGAGTGCGGGCGGCGGGCCATGAGAAGCGCTGCCTCCGCACTCTGGCACCTTTATATATGCATCTCGCATTGCACATGTCCCTCGGACACGCAAGATGTTTTTCCGCATCGAGGCCACGGTGTTGCCATGTATTGCGGACTGCTCATTTTCTAACCGGCGGTACTTCGCCATCTCAACACATAGTGCAACAATTCAGGTGTCTTGCAATGGATTGCGGACGGCTGGTTCTAAGAAGCGGGGGGGGGACGGCAGGTATCGTTTTTGGATGTTTGGCGTCGCTCGGACGCGTGCATTTTTTCACGGCGAGGACCATTGAGGAGCATTTGGGATCATCTCGCGAGCGCGAAACCGACACATGCACGGGGAAGAAACATTGGGACCGTCACCGAGATTTCGCGGGATATCGTCGATGCCGATTTTGGTCATGGGGGCCGTGGCCGATTCCTTATCGGCCCAGCTTTCTTCGGTTGGGCTACGACTCGGGGGCCCGCGGCGCGAGGTGAAGCGGGGATCTTGCAGACTAAAAAAGCACGACGACGTTGCGGGCGCTCGCATGACCCCCGGGGCCGCCACTTGGAACGACTCCTTCGGGAGCTGGGGCCGCCTTATCGGCGCGAGGTTCGAGCGGCCGGCCGCGCCGCCAGCGGGGGGGGAGCGGCTGGTGAGAGGCCCACCCCGACGACCGACCCGCCCGCTCGCATGGGCGCGCAGACCCCCGGCGCCGCCACTTGGCGCGACTCCTTCGGGAGCTGGGGCCGCCTGGCACTGTGGTGACCTCGCATGGGCGCGCAGACCCCGGGGCCGCCACTTGGCACGACTCCTTCGGGAGCTGGGGCCGCCACATCGACGTCAGGTTCTGGGCGCTTCGCCCGCCCGGAGTCCCCTCTCCGCAGCCGTCCTCGCCTGTCACCGTTGTCCTCCTCGCTGAGACCGCCAGCGCCGCGACAATACCGTGTGTGGTGTGTATGTATGTGTGTACGTATGTATGAATGAATGGACGTATGTATGTACGTACGTACGTACGTATGCATGCATGCATGCATGTGTGTGTGAGTTTGCGTGCGTGCGTGCGTGCGTGCGTGCGTGCGTGCGTGCGTGCGTGTAGGTGTTTGTGCGTGTGTGTTTGTGTGTGTATGTGTGTGTGCGTGTGTGTGTGTGTGTGTGCGTGCGTGTGTGTGTGTGTTTGTGTTTGTGTTTGTGTTTGTGTGTGTGTGTGTGCGGTCCGTTCGTTCCTTCGCTTCCTTTCACCCTCTCTCTCTCTCGATCTCGCTCTCTCTCTCTCTCTAGATATGTGTGCATACAGTTGCGTGTGTGAGCTTTCTCTCTCCTCTCTCCCTCCTTCTCTTGTTTGTTCTCTCTCTTTCTTTCTCTATCTCTTCCACCCCCTCTGCCTATACCTCTCTTCCTGTCTCCATTTCTCTTTGTCAAGCTACAGATTTTCAAGTGCATGTAGTCATACGCGTGTCATTATCTATGAACGCGTTATCTACCATCTACCAGTCGACCAATCTATGAAGCGACTAGACCGATTGACTACGAGCGATACATATATAGTGCTCGTTCTTGCGGCGTTTCTCTCTGTTTTCCCAGTCTCTCTCTATCTCCAGTCAACCCTTGATATCTCTCTCCTTTCTCTCTCTCTCTCTCTTTCTCTTTCGCTCTCGTTCTCACTCTACTACATGATTATGCCCCCTCTCTTTTTATTTTCTCTCTCTCTCTCTGCATCTGTCCATGCCTTTCTACGCTCCTGGCCGCCTTGCCTCCCCTCAGGACATAAAGGAGCAGTGTGATCAGGTATGGCCCACTGCAGGGCCACCAGCGAGCGCATGAGCATCGTCGAGGACAGCTTGCATCTGCCCCCCCTACCCGGCACGCGTCGGCATACACTGGGACCGAGACATACGATCGAGGGTACCCTAATGTTCTTCGTGCTTGTTGGATGCGCTTGTGCATCCTGGGGGAGGGTACCGCCGACTGTTCTTCAGTTTGGTCGGCGGAGGGTCTCATGTTCTTGCAGGATGTTCTTCTGTCCCAGGTCTGACCGTGCTTTGGGGTGCCCCTCTCTCGGCTTGACTCCGATGCTCGTCCACGGCGAGTTGCCTCCATCAGTTCGGTCCGTCGGGCGACCACCCTTCGTGTCAGCGTTGACGGTCCAGATTGGTGCACGTCGATTGTCGCCTCGGCATCTTCGGTGGACGGTGGACCATCGGCCACGATCGTTGGCCTTGGTTGCGCGCGCTTTGGCTGGAGGCTGTCCGTGTGAGGTGTGCAGAGATAGGAGGACGTAGAGGAGACGCAGGCAGAGAGCGAGCGCAACCATGCGGATGCTGGCGCACGGTAGCGCACTTCACTCGGCTGTTGCGCCTTTGCATCCTTGTCTGCCTCCTCCATAGCCTTCCAAAAGTGACATCGGTGACTGGGCGGCCAAAGCCACTTGCGAACCAGCTGCGTGTGTAGACATGTCGTGCGCGCGGGTTGGTCTCTACGTGAAGGCCCCGACCCCGTGTCGTGAGGACCGTCCCACAAGTTTGCACAGAGAAGGGAGGGAGAAGGAGACGGCCTTCTCAGAAGGTTTGGAAGTCACCGGGCCTTCTGAGAAGTTCCTATGAACCTTTACCGAAGACAAAACAACACTTCTGAGAAGGCGCGAGGAATTCTGAGAAGTCCCGCCGCCTTCTGAGAAGGCCTCCTCCCGCCAGAGAACGACCAGCTCAAAAAAATTGGGTCGCCAGGATCTCAGGAAAGTCTTGCATGTTGGTGGGCGGACGGATGAGAGATCGTCCTGGCTCGCCTGGGCCTTCTGGCCCTTCGGAGGAGGCTGAGAAGGGGCAGCAGAAGACGAACTCGAGCGAGCAGGCCTTCCCCTGGCGGCACGCCGCATCTACAGCCTCCACTATTCGAGACCTGCCGCACCAGCGGCGCCAAGAGCGAGCAAACCGTAGCTACTAATACGACTTCTACTACGACGACGAGACGCGACACGACCAACTACTACGACTACTCCCTCCCTGCGCTTCGGGCAGGTATGCGATCCACAACGGTAGCGGCTTAGTGAAAGAGGCGCCGATGATAGGGAACGAAGTCGGCGGCGCAGAAGTCGGCAGTTCCATTGATGCTTTTCCATGCTCCGCAGAGTGGACCGCACACGTGCCCGGAGCGTCCTCCTCCTCCTCCTCCTCCTCCTCCTCCTCCTCCTCCTCCTCCTCCTCCTCCTCCTCCTCCTCCCCCCCTCCTCCTCCTCCTCCTCCTCCTCCTCCTCCTCCTCCTCATCCCCGCCCTATCGCCCCTCTGCCTCCCCTGCTTCGGGCGGTGACGCCTGCCGCCTCCCACCGCTGCGAGCCCCGGCGCGACCTGCCGCAGTCTGCAGCGCCAAGAGCGAGCACCGTGCCCCCCGCCAGAGCGCACTGTCGCTCCCAGCCGTACGTCGGGCCTGTCCCTCTACAGGAGGAGTATTCGAAAATAGTAGAAGATAGTCTGGGGACAATATTTTGAGTGTTTTTGCACATTTGGGGGGCATTTTGAGTATTTTTCATTTTTCGCTCAAAATCCCTCTGTAGGGGGACACGCCCGACATAATCCCAGCCCCCGCCGCCCAACGCGCTCCGGGCGCCCACGGCGGGGCACCTCCGCACGCGAGGCCCCCGCTCCGCAGGATCTGGGCGCTCGCGGCGGCTCGTTATCCGCAGCGATTCGGCACCAAAAACGAAGAGCACATAACTGCTCAAGGACGGAGCATCAGGATTCTCCCCTCGTGCTTAAAGGGCCACCTCCCAGTAGTCACGTCGAGCACTCCGAGAGTAGTATCGAAGCAGCGTCTGCCCGACAATACGTAGCCATTATGGCTCAAGTGGCAATATCGGCAATCCCCCCGTCTCGAGGTGGCGAGGCGGTCGTGCGTGATCGTGACCACAGGTGCTCGCCCGAGCAGGTCACGTCCTCTCCTTCTCACAACACAAGCATTTCGCTACCGTAGTTCCTGTTCCTTGACCCTTTTTCCTCTTTCTTTGTCCTGATGGCAGCGGATGTTCCTGATATTCTCGCGGCGATTGGGTCGATGAAGGGCGAGCTGCTCTCTGCGATCTGCCAGGCAAGCTCCAGGACTGACCAGATCGAATTACAGCTTCAAGGATTGCAAGCACAGCAAGTCTCGTTTGTGCAGGAGATGCAGCAACTCGTCTCGTTTATGTCAGCTCCATGGGAGGCCAGGGTCCAAGAGATCACAGGTGCTGCGGTTGATGTGGATGACGGGGATGGCACTAGGCCGTGTGGTGAACGTACGATGACGGCGGCATTTGAGGCGAATGTGAATGATACATTCAAAACGGTCCAGGATCAATTCGAGTCACTCTCTTGGCCCGTGTCTACGGCTGCGAGCTCTGAGGGTGGAGGTAGTCGTAAACGTCAGGCGCCCTCAAGCATCCCAGAAAGCTTCCTAGACACCAATGCCTCTTCTGAGGCCAAGGATCAGCACAACCCCTGCCGTGTGTGGATTGGAGGCTGGCCGAGAGAGGTTCTGTCGCAATGCCGTACAGAATATTGGGATTGGTACAAGACTCAGGTCCCACAGGAGTTTGTTGTGAATGCGAATCCGGTAGTTCAGCGTACCAGCCGTTCATACTCTGCTGTTTTTCCTTATGTTGAAGATGCCTCTCGTTTCAAGCAATGGGCTTTCACTTCTCCATCGTCTTGGACTGACTATCGTGACCGTGCCATGCAGTTTCCCATCCGAGTTCGTGGCGACATTCCTCTTCCCGCCTGTCTTCGTAAATCAGCCCTCTCGGTGCTCTGGGGGCCAGTGAAGATCAAGTTCATGAATAATGGTCTGTGGTCCAGTTCGATCCGGATGGGATGCTCTGGGTAGGGATCAGGCCGCTTCCAGATCTCATCGGGCTCAGATTCGTGGGCGCTGTTCTAGCTCAAGTCGGAGGAAGGCCAGTTCGTTATCGTTCCTAACCGTGAGGAGCTCTACCAGTGGAAGTTCATTGACACGGAAATTGAAATTGTTATCGATATGGCCACAAAGAAAAAGGCCCTACCTTTAGACGACAGCCTCACGGGATCCCAGACATGATAGGGGGTTTCTGTTGGCCAGCTGAGTGGAGGGAGCGCCAATATTGTGGTTAGCTGCAGTGTGAGCAATGCCTGCTCGGGGGTAAAGCAATGGGCTGGTCATGTCTGCAATCTGCTCTGGGACATCATCTCATGCTCCAACTCCCGGGCCACTCCTTTGGCTGTTCGTTCTTCCCCAACTCTGTCGGTGCTGGTGGCCTCATCACGGCGGTGAGCAAATCT